AGATAACAATGGTTTTGTTAGCTATTGATCTTAATTACACGTTTTTATTATGGATATATTTTATAGGAAAGTTTTCTTTGAATAATTTTTTCACAATAGTTTACGTGATAATTTATGTTTGATCCGTTTTAAATATACATATCAATTAAACAGTGATACATAATTTATTATTAAAAAATTGTTAAAATATCGGATTGCTATTTTATATGCGTCATGGAAAAACTGTTAATTAGTTTGGAAGTAGCGTATTTTTTGCTTTGGTTCAAAGATAATTCCATTTACAGATTCAAATTAAAAAAAGAATATAAATTTTCTATGGGATATAAAAATAAAATAAAATAGTGTGTGAACATATGTTGCATGTTGCATACGTAAATGAATGTCAATTCTTGTATGTCTGTCACTTCCCATCTTCTGCATTTATAAAACAATTAGAGGCAGGTGCATTTATTGGAACTCGCCACTGTTCTGAGATAATAATTTTAATAAAAGATACATCAACACGTGTTTTATTTTGTATTTGATAATAACAAATTATAACAATATACAGTCTTTTCTCTTATGCTGCACATGTATAGTTTTTCAAACATAATTTTAGAATATCACCATACATGTAAAAATAGTACCTAATACTTTTTTTTTTCTTCTTATCAGGATTTTGAAGCGTGGAATTTTAATTAATGATAAAATTTTAGTGATTTAGAAATTTTTTACATATGTTATTGAGGTTAAAAAATAACGAAGACATGCAAATACTTAATTCAGTGAAAAAAAATGTTTTTTAATAAATATAATAATAAATATGAATCTTATAAAATACTTTTTCTCATAAAATATCAAGTGTATTTATAAAATTAACATTAATCTTAAACTATGTTAAAATATCATATATTTTAAGTTGTTTATATAAAAAAATTTAATAGGTTTTATTAAACCTTGTTTGGATTTATGGAATTAAGGTTATTTGTCTTTCAAAAATTTTATAGTTAGTCTTATCACTTATTGTGATTATTGTTTGTCTTTTGATTGTCCCATAAAGTTATATAATTTTATGTACAGGTGCTTCAATGTTAAAATCAGCAAAAATTATATAATTTTAACAATTATTATGTATTCAATGTAATAAACCCGTCACATTATTATATTTATAGGTTTGGAATGAGTTTCGAATTATTAAACGGTTATATAATACAATACTTTTTAATTATAAATTGGATTAAATACAAACATGAGATATTTTTTTATGATAAAATATACTTTATAAATAAAGGAATTTCGTAATAATAAAAATAGAAAAAATAAAAAGAAGGAAGAAGGAAAAAATAAAAACATTGAGATTTTATGGGAAAACGATAACAATTATTGGAAAAAAACTAAAGTATATACTATAACAATTATACTAATCATTGTCATTTTGTATGTGATAAAAAAGTATTTTATAATTAATATTGAAAAGTTGTATAGTAGAAGTTGGTTAGGTGATGTTTATTAAGTCTAAAATGACGGCGAGAAAGTAATGAAAATGGGTAATTTGGAAATGTTAAAAACTCCAAAATTGTATTATAGTTAGTTAAATATCATCACAAAGTTTGGATCTCTCTTCATTTAAAATATGTCCAAGAAAAAAATAGTAAAACAATAAAGAAAAATAAATATATTTATATATGAATTTTAAAATAATATAATTTTTATTTTAAGAAAAAATGTAGTCAATGTTATTCAAACAGGCGTAGAAAAATAAAAATACCAACAATTTGTGGAGGAAGAGAACCAAAAGGTGTAGCTGAAAACAACACATCCTTGAAAATGCACTACAGCATGGTCCCCAAAAACAGTAAGGGTAAATATGGGAGTCCAAATTCTTTTAAGGGTAACACCGTAATTCCACTACCCCTTCCTTCAAAGACTCCCTCCATTGCTTCATTCCGGAGGCCATCCAAGAAAAGCGTGACGCTTCCCTCTTACTTTGCCACGTCATCACAAACCTCATCTAATCTCACTCTCGCGAGTACCGAAATCGACCCTACTTCCTCTATTTCGCGTTTACGTGTTGCTCTTCACCCTTCGCGAATGCGCTATCACTTTCCACGATGTTGGACGGCGTGGCACTCACTCAACCATGTGATGCATGGCTTACGGTGGTGCGCTACACAGGGGAACAGTCCTATAGGTAAAGCGTGCGGAGGGACACAAAATACACGTGCGGGAGATGCTGTGGAAAGGATGTGATTTGAACCATAAAAACCGCTGAGTGTGGGACCCACAAATTTAGTGGCATACAGGGCAAGAAATACGAATGTAGACTCGTACGTGTCCACATACTGTATGACATGTTCTAAATATTTTATAGTTTAGTTTGTGTTGTTCATGGTGGACCTCAAATTTTATGCATGATCTATGTTTTCTATTTCAAAATATTTATAATTACCAACAACACTGAATATTGTGTGCTTGGCTGCCAGAGAATGAATGCTGGAGTCAAATTAACATATTCAGTACTCTCTATAAAAAAAAATCTTACATTGCATTAAAAAAAATATATTGCTTCTACCGTATTCAATATTTTCACATCATTTAAAAGTATTGGTCAAACACAGATTAAATATTCTTTTTGTGCATTCTTAATAAATACATATAACAGATAAAAGAAGAAAAATAAATATTTAATTGTGTTTGACTCGACTATAATATTAATTAATGGGTATATAGAGATGACAACGGATCGGATTCGACACGGATAACGGATAGTGTCTATCCGCGACCCAATCCGATAAAAAAAATTCACCTATTATCCACAAAGATGCCTACTTAAAAAATATTCACGAATATTTTAAAATCCACAAATACATTTGGATACAAACAAATATTTAAAAAAATATATTTTTATAAATTATTAAAATAAAATTTAAATCAAATTACAAAAAATATATAAAATATAATACAAATTAAATTTTAATTTTAATTAAATATAACCTTATAAAATATAAATTAATGTTGATTTTAATTAAATTTAACTTAATAAAATATAAATTAAATTTTTATTTTTATTTTTTGTAGGTAGCGGAATATTCATGGATATCCGACCTGTTTATAAACGAGTTTTAAAATACTTGTAATTCGCAGATAGTAAATATTTGTGGATACCAACTATCCGTCGCGGATTTTATCCGCGAATACTTACGGAAACAGATTTTTTTGTCATTCCTAAGAGTATTATTGTAGTTATTCTTGGACGAAAAAACTTAAAATACCAAATGTTTCTTTATCAATTCTATGATAAATTCGATTCTAAATCTGTGGAGTTATACCGTTCTCCGATTGTTGCGTAAATCTCTTTTGAAAATACCTAATAATAAAAAAAAAGAAGGTTATTATTTTGTAAGAGAGTACTAAATGCACTTGAATGCTGGGTTTTATGGATGGGGTAGTTGGTGAGGAAATCTTAAGTGTGTTCCTAGAAAAAATTGTTGTGGTAGGTTAGGTTACATGGTTGAATGATTTTTGCTTACAATGTAATGGGCCTCGGATTGTCCAATTCAACCCATGATTTATAGTTATTCATATATGTTGTCTTTTGCACCCATGTGTCTGCTTTTTTCTTCACTGTCGTGTTTTTATTGCATTCATCTTTATGTGTTTTAACATTTTTTTTTATTGTCACACGTTCTTGTGCATTTTAATTTTAGTTTATGTTTTTGGAATACATGATTATTTATAAAAGGGCTTAAATTTCTTTAATTTGACTTTAACTAAAATTCCAAGAAAATAGTCATGAATTCTTTATAATTTATTATATTTGCACTGCAGTAGTTAGTTATAAAATTTTGATTTGTTTTTTAAGTTAAAATCTTTTAAATTATTGTATTCCAATTTTAAATATATTTCCAACAAATTTACAGTTCCTTTCCATTAACTGGACATCGATTTAGCACAATAAAAAAAATATATTTCAATTTTTATCTAAAAATCTTATATTAATTATTTTCATCTAAAGTATTGTCAGAAACGTGAAATTCTATCATGGTTTTGACCGGTCATCCTTAATAGAAGAGCTACTAGACACTTAAAGTCAAATATATACTTTCAAAATATTATCTATTTTAGTCGATTTTATTGTTAAAAAAACATTTAAAAAATGAGAAAAAAATATTTAAATATTGATTCCTCAACTACAGGAAATCTAATATTAACTACATGAAAAATAAAAATTAAAAAACACATGAAAGAAAAGAAGAAATTAAACGTCACCTCCTTAGCCTATTGGATGTGATAAAAATTACATAAAAACAATATTTTATAATAAATTTAGATATTTTTATATTTAAAAAGAAATATGTGATCGTGGATAAATGGTGGGAATTGTGTTTAGAAAATACAGAAATATTGGTTTTTCTCCTGTGGGCGATTAAGCAAAGCCACAATACAACCAATCCCTACAAGTTTTTGGAGAAATTGACCCTTCCTCGTCAACACTATTTTCATTACTTGATTTAATTCTTATAGTGTCTCTTAACTATGCCAATAAGCTAGGTCATATTTAAAAGTGTGTTTTAATCCAAAACAAACACATTAATTAATAAAGCAAGTTATATTTATTTATTAATAAAAGCCCTCATATGAATTGTGTGTTGTTATCAAATGTAAACATTACTCCAACTAGTTAGGTCAATGTTTTTTTCAAATCAAATTACTTCAATAATTAAACTATCTTTTAATAATGTTAATAAATAGTTTTATTCACTCAAAGGACAAGATAAAATAATTGAATGAATGAAAATTTGTAATTGGATGATAAATAATCCCATAGCAAAGTTAAATTATAATTCCAAAGAAAAAATAGTGGAGATTAATGAGAGATTAGTGCTATTAAAAAATCATAATTACTATTAATCAAGTTGGTGGATTGATTGGAACAAAGAGAGAAGAATCATTGTAAATATTGTTAATTTATGGAATATGATTGTGATTTCCGAAGATTATTATTTTGTTTTTAAAGAGATAGAGATGGGAAAAGAGGGTTTTGTATTCATAAATTCACATTCAGGCCAAAAGAACCAGCGTCCAGATACATTCCCCTTCGTCCTCAGTTCTCAATTCTCAATTCCAAATTCCAGATTAGGGTTAGGGCTTCCAATGACCGTCTGCTCTACCCTTTCTTCACAATCTCTATTCCATCATCGCTTCTGTTTTCTCTGTTGTTGTTGTTGTGGTTCTTAGGGATTATTAGTTACTAAATTTACGTATCTCATTGTTTTACTATCTTCTTCGATGGACCTGTCTCACTCCCAATCCAACCTGTCCCTCGGATTTTCATCCTCTCACGCTTCGCCGCTTCGTCGTTCCGACCCGCCGGTGCCGCTGCAGCTGCTTGAACCGCCGCAGCCGCTGGAGAATGGAAGTTTGGATGTCGAATCGGATGATGACGACGACGACAAAGAAGTGGAAGAGTTTCGAATTCTGGGCCACTCAATGTGCCTGAAGAGGCGAAGGGATTGTGACTCATCGTCCTCCTCCTCCACGAAGAGGGTTTCTGTGGATCCCGATCTCGACGCGCGGAAGGTTGCCGTGCGTGCGTGGGGATGCCAACCGCTTTCAATCGCGGACCCCGACATCCACGAGATAATGGAAAAGGAGAAGAAGAGGCAATTTCGTGGGATTGAACTCATAGCGTCGGAGAATTTCGTTTGCAGGGCTGTGATGGAGGCGTTGGGAAGCCACTTGACGAATAAGTACTCTGAAGGAATGCCCGGTGCGCGATATTACGGTGGTAATCAGTACATCGACGAAATCGAAACTCTCTGTTGCGAACGTGCATTGAACGCGTTCGGTCTCGACCCCAAGTGCTGGGGGGTGAACGTGCAGCCGTATTCGTGCACCTCTGCGAATTTCGCTGTTTACACGGGGCTGTTGTTACCCGGTGATCGTATCATGGGGTTGGATACCCCGTCTGGAGGGAATACTAGTCACGGTTACTATACTCCCAATGGGAAGAAAGTTTCCGGGGCTTCTATTTTCTTTGAGAGCTTGCCTTACAAGGTGAACCCTCAAACGGGTTATATTGATTATGATAAGCTTGAGGAAAGGGCGCTTGATTTTCGCCCCAAGATACTTATATGTGGTGGGAGTTCTTATCCCCGAGAGTGGGATTACGCGAGGTTTAGACACATTGCGGATAAGTGTGGAGCTGTGTTGTTGTGTGACATGGCACAAATTAGTGGCATAATTGCGGCCAAGGTGTGAAATATATTCCTTCTCCTTAAGTAAACCCTTTTTCATGCATATATGTTGCTCGTAGTTGCTTGTGAAAATCTAGTCACACGTTCTTGCTGGTTTTGGACTTCTCGTACTAACTCTCTCTCTCTCTCTCTATATGTGTGTGTGTGTGTTTGTATGTTATTCTGCATAAGATTTGATTTGATTTTTACATACATTTATTTTTTTATGTTGCACCAATACAAAGACTTCAGTGAACTTGGTTAAGTTCTTGATTGTCACCCTGGTCAACTAGCTTGCAAGGGCGCGTTTTCCATTTGTTCGAATGCTTGCCAATTTTTTATAAGAGCTGCTGGTGGTTGTTGTCTCTGTATTGTGTGTGGGGGGGGGGTGTTAGTGTTCTGACCAGTGAGGAAGGTGAGTGAACGAAGTGTTACATAGAGAGTGTAAGTTTTTGGGACATTGTCTCTCAGGAGTGGTGTTATAATAGAGACTTGGGTATCATGAGTTGCCTAAGTCTCACATGGAGTAGTTTGTACGTTGGATCTATAGCGCAACACCTCAATGAATACCACATGCAAGAATATGGAATGTTGAGTAGAGTAGTTAAGTGTGGTTGATTTGAATTAAAGCCGGAACTTTTTATGATTAGTAAAGTATAAGGCATTGCCCAAGGTGTTTATTATTTTTATTGAATTTCATCCGAGCATTGGAATAAAACTTCATGCTTTCTGAATTAAATATCTTTTGAACTTAATTTTTAAGTCATATTCTGCAATTCATGGATAAGGATGGTTTCAGTCCATTATTGTCTCCTAGAAAACATCCAATAGTTGATTAGGTATAAATTTTGAAGTAATGCTAAGTATTGTGATGTTGTATTTTCAGGAATGTGTGAATCCTTTTGATTATTGTGATATTGTTACTTCGACAACTCACAAGAGTCTTCGAGGTCCAAGGGGAGGTATAATATTTTATCGGAAAGGTTCAAAGCCGAGGAAGAGAGGGATTCTTCTAAGTCAGGGTCATGAAAGTGATCAATATGACTTTGAAGAAAAGATAAATTTTGCTGTTTTTCCATCATTGCAAGGGGGCCCGCACAATAACCACATTGCTGCACTTGCTATAGCTTTAAAACAAGTGGCTACTCCTGAGTATAAGGCCTACATGCAGCAGGTGAAGAAGAATGCTCAAGCTTTAGCATGTGCTTTACAGAGAAGGAAATGCCGCTTAGTAACTGGGGGTACAGACAACCATTTAATACTTTGGGATTTAAGGCCCCTGGGATTGACAGGTATTGAATGAGCATGCTGTATTCTTATGATATATTTCTAATTTGCTTATGTATTTAATGCCTGTATCCGTTAGACTCAACTAGTTTGCATGTTGGCTGTATTGCACTGGTTTTTTTTTTTTTTTTTTATTAGATTCTTTGGCGTTTTATGTTTTAAATTTACATTTCTATATGGACATGGATTTTTATAGAAAGAGTAGGAGTTTCCTGAATGGGCTGGCCCTAAAGAGCCTGAGGTGCATACTAGTCTGGAGCAGCTCAGCTGCTTCATTGAGACAGGTGGCCAATGAAAATATTAGTGAAATGTAAAGTCAATTATGATGACAAACTCTTATCTCATGAAAGCAGGTTTACTGCATGGATTAGTCAACACCGTTGGGCTCTAGAAAAACAAAATCAAATTTTGGGTTCAACCATTGATTGCAATTTTTTGTCTTGGTATTTTCCAATATTTTCTTTTGTCTTTCTTGCACCCTTTTTTAATTGGATTATCTATCCATTCGATCCACTTCTATTAAACACCTTCGTGTACGTATTTCTCGCACATTTTGAAATAACCTTGCGTGATTTACATTATATTTTTACGTGCAGAAAAATTTCTCTTTGATACATTTTCCGGACATCTTTTCTTAAATGTTAGCGAAACTACTTGAGCATTCCCATCTTTATTAAATATATCGAACCTCTGTAGGAACTTCACTACCAAACATGCCTTTTTGTTAGAACATCATTGGTGTTATGGTTTTGTGCTAGACTTGTGCTTTGAGTTTGATAGTTATGGCGACCTTTTATGCAAATCCTATTATCCAAGGTTGACAATTAATGTAATTTGTTTCATTTATTTGTTTATATGATAAGAAGTTATAACTCGAAGCATAACCTTTTTGGTGCTTGTAGGTAAATTTTACGAGAAGGTCTGTGAAGCATGTCATATTACATTGAATAAAATTGCTATATTTGGGGACAATGGAACTATAATTCCTGGAGGTGTTAGAGTTGGTGAGTAATAGTCCAATATGCAGAAACCTTTTATTCTTTGCGTGCTTAGAATATTTAATTGGCTGTACTTTCTCACGGGGGAGATTTTTCTGCCGTATTTGTTATTCAGGTACCCCTGCTATGACGTCAAGAGGGTGTCTGGAACCAGATTTTGAGACAATGGCTGATTTTCTCATTAGAGCTGCACATATTGCAAGCATACTGCAGAGGGAGCACGGGAAACTTCAGAAGACAGCATTAAAGGGACTTGAGAGCAATAGAGACGTTGTTGAGCTCCGAGCACGGGTCGAGGTGTTTGCAATTCAGTTTGCTATGCCGGGTTTTGACATTTGAGCATGATGTGGCTTGTAAATTGCCATTGTTGATTATTTATATATGCTACGATTGTGGGTCGTCGAGCCTGCTTTTACAAAAGCACAGCTTGTGCATATATTTTGTGGAGTTCCTCTCCTCTCTGCGTTGTATGCAGTTGTAAGGTTTTGACATGTTGCAGTGAGCTGCAATCTGGTGCAAGACTGTACGTAAGGAACTGCATACATCTGTGGAGGTTTTGTTTGGTGATCAAGTATCTTGTTCCTACCTTGGAGGTGTCACCATCCCAGCTGAATGCATGAAGTTAAAGCTATTATAGGTTTGGAACAGGGGTTCTTGATCAACCAACCTGAGTACAGAGTTCTTCTGGTGAATCTACAGAAAATAATTTCTCTGATAGAGGTTAGACACCTTGAATTCTTTTCGCTGCTGTTTGATGCTTAAAGCAATGTTATTAATCATATTTTTGGCCATCTATAGATTCATTCCCTCTTTTGAGATCATATTTGTATTTATTTTCTTCAATACCTTACCGTGTTATTTGTTAAAATACACAGGGTGACGTGGTAAATATTTCATTGCTTTGTATTTGCAAAATGTATTTTTTTTTTGTCGAAAAGAAAGGTTGATTATTCTTTCTGATAAGTTGGTAATGAAAGATATTTCAGAAGCGCCTGAGTTCATACGCAAGGAATTAAAGCGTTGTGGGTTTAACTGGGACAGTAGAAGGTCCTATATTTATGAAGTTGAATACACTGTGACTTGGATTTTTGTTTTGGTCTGCGTATTTCCTATTTTGTTAGCTACTGTAAATGTTTGGGATTAAACCGCCCCTTTTTCTCATGCTTTTGTGGTTTGCAGATATCTTCTCAAACCATCTAAGTGTGGGTTCGTGCCATCAAACCTTGGGGATTAGGCCATTTATCTCACTTGGTAATGTAAGTCTGCAATGGGTATAATCTTCTTGTTGGTTCAAATTCACCTACCACTTACTAAAACATGGATGGTTTAAAATCACTCTTCAAGCAAATATTATTTTTAATCTAGAATTATAGTAATTAACGCAAATACTAATTTTGTAAAGATGTTTGCATTACAATTGAAGTTATGTAATTTTTGTTGTCATTTTTAATTGGATAATTTTATCTTTAATAAATAAAAATTATTTTATTTAATAAAATAAATAAAATAAATAATTTGAATAATTAGTTTTTATTTTAAAATTTAAATAACTTTATTTTAAGTAACAGTTACATGATTTTTAATGTTATTTTTATGTAAGTAATTTATCAATTTATTAAATAACAAAAAACTTTTATTTTTTAAATAGTTGATACATAATTTTTTAAAATTATTTTTACATAATTATATATATATATATATATATATATATATTAAATCGTATTTGTTTTTATTTTATTATATTTTGGAAAAATGATACTTTATTTTGAATGTACGATTATTTCAAACACATTCAGTGTCGAACAATAAACTTTTTTACAAATTGTGTTCAAATTAAGCTGTGTTTGTGTAAAATTTAGCAAGGTTATCAATTTCAACCAACTTACCAGTGATTTGTAGGTAGAGGGTAGTGTTGTTTTTCTAAACTAAGGATATAATAGGAGATAGTAAAATAGTTTTATATGGCCACTATTCATAAATAATTGTAAAAGTTAAGAGGGATATGTTTGTGAATAACAAGGGATAGATATTTTGTTTCGCATTGGTTTTTAATTGTTATTGGATTTTCTGTTGATAATGTCTGATTCTTAAACTTCCATCAATGTAGTTTTTTATATTTTCACACCTCAAAACTATTATCATAGCAGAAGTTATCCCAAGTTATAAAATTGGTAATGAATGATGGAAACTAATTTTTCTAATCATTTTGCATCGCTTGATCGGTTTATTTTGAGAATTTTATCTGTGACTAATTTTTTATATTAACTTAAATGACCAATAATACTAATAAAATTTATTATATTTTAATAAAATAACATAATTCTTATAAAAGATTATAATAATCACTCTTCAAATTTTTATTACTAATTAATTTATAAATATTAAATTAAATGTTTTAAAATTTACATTTACACTGGTTTATAAAAAAAATTATACTTTCCTAATAAATTAATTTATTATAAATAAATATGTAAATCTATATAATTAGAAAAAATATTGTTTTCAAAAAACAGGATTCTAACAGTAACCAACTTGCAAAATTAAAAAAAATTAATGGTCCACTCAAGTCAATAACATTCAAAACTGATTATAAAGGAAAAAAAGAACTGTCAACGTTAAATTAAATTCAACACACAAACCTAATTCAATCCAACTCACCTTACATTTTATTTTAGCCTTAAAATTAGTGTTGGATTGAAAAACGTAACTCTAATTTACTTTTTGTCTTTACGGTTTTTTGTTTGACTTTTGATCCTTCATAAATCTCCTTTTTATTTTGTGTTAGTTCTTTTATATTTTTATTTTCTAAAATGTTTTATCTATTTTAAATTATTAACTTTGTGCTAAAAGCAAACGATTTACGCAATACAGACAAAATGATTTTTTTAAAGGAACTGAAACAAAATAATAAGCAACATAACTTTTTTCTTTTACAGGAATAAAAGTGAAGCAAAGAAACTATATTGGAACAAAAATATAATATAACTACAATTCGAAAAACATATTTAAGGCAATATAAGACGTTTGAAATTAGAATCACTATTCAATTAATTCCCGATTACATAAAAAGCATACATACAAAAGTTATTTGTAGATATATATTTGCTTAAAAAATATTAATAAGTAAATATTTGTAGATATATTTAGATATTTAATTTTTTTTTATAAAAGTTTAAAATAAAGTATAAATAAAATTACAAAAAATAAAATAAAATTTAATTTTAATTAAACTTAGCCTAATAAAATATAAATTAATTTTAACTTAATAAAATATAAACTAAATTTTTATTTTTATCTTTTATATACAAATACAGATAATATAATATTCTAACATATTAAAATATCTATTATCTATTACTCACGAATAATAAATACTTACAAATATTAAATATTCCTCATAAATTTGATTCATAAATATTTTTTTGGTATTTCTAAATATAAGTGAGGATGAGATCATAAATTTTGTAAAACAAAAAGCCTTGATGGTGTGATGAGTCATGAAAAGTGATTGTGTCTGCCACTCTGCTTATGCCAAGGTGAAACACAACAAACACTTTTGAATGGAGTGAGTCACAACGGTGTTGCTTATTGTCATCTTTTTCTTCTCAAAGACAAAAACGTGTTTTACTATTTTTTACAAACGAATCAATCTTATGCTTGCAATTGGATGCCACAAGAAGTCTCCTTTTAATCATCTTATTATGCACTTCTTTAATCACAATTACGTCTAAAATTATTTTTGCTTAAACCAAGAATGAATTTTTGCATTATTTTGTTTCATTAAAAGTTGATTTGTTAGCTCAGTTTCCCTCTTTGTCCAGTTGGCAGGCAACATAATCCTGTTTTGTATGTTATAATAATCACTTTTGACTTTATCATACCAAGATCTCCTCTTCTGTTGCTCCACAGATATCAACTACCCTAACCCTATGCACTACACTCACTTCACACCTTTAATCCAACCCTAAATGTTTTTAAAAATATATATTTTTACACATACAAATTTTTTAGATTTTTTTTATTTACAGAAAAAAGATATAAAAATTTATTATTTTATATCCTTGTAACATGTGTTATTCTATTATTATTTTAGTTTTTTCTTTTTGTCAAGAGGTGAACTTTAAACCTAACTGAATCTCATAAAATCAGCTTATAAGATTGAGTTAGGTTTAAAGTTCATTTTTTACAAGGTATCAAAGTGTTTTATGCTTGAGATGTATATCTGGGTGTGGAAGATGTGTGTTGAAAGTTTCATAGATTGAGTCAGACTTAAAATCTTACTTTAAAAATTAATTTTATAGAATTGAGTCAGACTTAAAATCTACTTCTTAACTCTTTTAAAACAAAACATTTTAATAAAGATATTTTAACAAATATAACACATATAATTTTTTTCATTAATTCATTGTTTACTTGTTATTAATATATTCTAAATCCAATAAAAAATTATCCGTTTACTGTAATAAAATGTTGTTGTAAAAAAATTTGAACTTTTCTTTATCTCTGCAATTTCAGCATAGTGATTGTTTTCTTTGACAAACTTTTTCTCTTCCTCTGTCTTAACAATGTCGGATTGTGTACTGTAACCTTTACTTTAATTTGCGGAAAGCCTACATCACATTTGTTTGCCGTACAATTTTTGTTTCCCTTTGGTTATAATTACAAACCCCCTTTTTAAAAGTCAATACTATATACCAATGTAATCATTTCAGTCATATGTTTCAAAGTTCCATTCTGGACCCAATGTGTAAATCTGCTTTCACTGCTACCTATTCTAGACCAAATCATGTTAAAATTAAGCACCTAAAACCAAAATGGTTAAGCAAGGATTTGTTTTGAAGTAACGACACTAAGATAGATTCTTACATTCATTTAACATAGAATAGAAGATAAGATGATGATTATAAAAATATATAGTTTTATATTATTTTAAGAACAGTGTCTCAAATGAACGTAAAAATTTAGTTAAGTGAAATAATCATTTCATTTTCTTTTCTTTTGAATAATTTTTCAGAACCATTACCATACAAAACCGTGATACAATGAACAGAAACAGAATACAATATAACTGATGTTTGCTTCTCAGAAAGATTCTCATTGACTCCAGAGGTATATTTTAAATGAACAACTGAGATATGCCATCTGCTTTCTGATCAAGCAGATAAAGAAAAAGCATAATTTAACCCAAAAATAAAACAACAAAAAAATAAAGAAAAAGTAGCCCTTTATCAAAATACCATGTTTGGAATTTTTTGGCACTTTCTTTAAATCTGTGCAAACACAGAAAGCTGTTTCTTTCTCATGAAGCCACCAGCTTCTCAGTATTCTGGTTTCTTATGGAAGAATAATACTGAATAGTAGTAATGTTGCTTTTCTTCAAAGCAAGAATCACATTCTTGCAAATCTCAAACTTCTTCGAGGCTTAACAAATAGTCTAGCTTTCACTAATCAATGATCAATCAATACACTATCAATAAGGGAATTTCAAAAATAAAATAAAATAAAATAAAAGACCAAAGTTTAATGCATAAAAAAGGGGATGATTAGATGACACTGTTTGGTCTTTTAACAATTCTTTTCCCTCTTCTGCTATCCATTTTCTCTCTTTCTTTCTTTCTACCTATTGCTGCACATGTCCAAAAGCTTCTTCCTTCCTTCTACTATTTCATCAAAGAAATCATCAAGCTGCCCCGTTATAGTGTCGACCCCACATCTCAACAAACCAAAGCAACTCTTGACGTTGTCGACTTTTTGTTGGATCTCAGAATGTTCTTCGTAACCTGCTATTCCCTCCAATTCAACTTTCAGTTCTTCCATGGCGCTCTTTGCTTGTTGGAACTCAAACAGCAGAATCCCTGGCTGCCCTTCTGTCTGGTCTATCTCCTCTGCCACTTTCTGCTGCAATATGGCCATTGAAACCATAAACCCAGATCCAAAAACCATGTCTTCCTCGTACCCTTGGTGAAAGCAAGAGGAGGACCAACAGTACGCAAGCCCGCAAAGCAGAATCATCAGAAGCAGTGAGCTAACACTCCTCATTGCATACAGAACCCCTCGGAATCCACTGAATCCATTCAACTTCGATTCCATTGAGATGTTCTGAATCAAACATTGAGACAACGGTTCAATCCTTGTTTCCATCAAGCTCTTGTTTTCCTCTTCCAATCCTAGAATCTCCCTTTGACAAACATTTATTGCCCGAACAACCTGCATCACAGACAACAACAGACCCATCAAACAAGTTTCCTTTTTTTCTTTTCTTTCGTATCGCACACCACATACAAGACAACAAGAACATCATCCGAGGTAATTTTGTCTGAGCTAGATTCCAGACTTGTTAAGCAAGCTTTATGTTCTGAATCAAACCACACATGCATATGTAATATCAGTGATGTGGGTAAGTATAAGTATACGTATATATACCAACCTGGCGTGCAATTTCGGGAGTGAAATGATGGTAACCATCCAAAGAAGAAGCTATGTTAGAGGCAGCCGAGTAATAACTCTCCATTCCAGAAACGGCTGATTTGAGAACATGACAAGAATCCCAAAGCCTCGAGCTTTCGTCCATGTATTCATCCAACCATTTGCCTCCAACAGGCAAGCGAAGCTTCCGGACCAAAATGGTGAGCTGAGAATGGAAGGACTGGAGAGAAGAGATGACCTGTGAAAGGAATTGAAAGGACATGAAAGTGGGAGAAAGGAAGGATTGGTGGAGTTCATTGAGTCCTTGTGTGAGCAAGTTGTAGAAGCCAGTGACAGAAGAGTTAGTGCCCATCATGCAATAGGTGAGGGAAAGTTGATGGAGATTGATGGATATATATAATTGCAAGATTAAGCCTTTCAAACGAGTGTGGGTACGTAGCTTAGGAGCTCAGGTTTCTATGGTGAAAGGGTCCTGTTGGGTGCAATTATGGTTGTTTCCCAAACAGTGGAAGGGATGATTGGGAATCTGCTGTTTTGTTTGTGACAGAGAGAGAGAGAGAGAGAGAAAGATAAAATAAGGTAATAAAGTTTCCTTGGAATTAACCTGACAACTTTTTGTGTCTTGTTTGTTATTCCTTCAAGGACTATAACTTGGTGTTCGTTATGGTAGAAAGGAATATGAACAATCTTGGAGTTGTTCATATACGATATGTTGGATTGTGTTTCTTGGAGGTTAAAGTTTGACTACTTTGACTGAGATTCTGCTTCTCATTTTTCCATTTTGATTTGGTTCCCTTTTGGATTGAGTGCTTCTTCCTTATCCTCTTTCTGCACCTTTTTGGTTTTGTTTTCTTAAAGAAAGTTGTGCATAGTTCCATTTTGGTTCTTTTGAAAAGAGAAGTGAATGATAGGGTTGTGTGTGCTCTGAGTATTTTACACATTACTATGCAGATTCTTCTTTCTCCTTTAGGACCCAACATTCTATATGGAGCATTAAATTAAACCACACTCGTTTGCATGAAATATTATATATAATGCCAAACATCTTTCAAACTATTCTTGTGAATTCAAATGTATATGTTTCGGATCGAAAAGGAGATTCACTAAATAGATATAATACTAATGAAATCTGAATCCAAACAACTATTTTTTACAAAAAAGTATGAAGAAAACGTATTAATAAATTATAAAGGAGATTCACTGAATAGATATAATACTAATGAAATCTGAATCCAACGACATAAGAAGAAATTGACACTACACTTTACCAAAAATCCAAAGAAAACTTATTAATAAGTTATATATAATGTTCAATTTTCTCGTTCATTTATATATAACGTGAAACTTAGACTTGTGATTAGAATTCTAACAATTTCTTTTATGTTTTGTGTTACTGATATTATTATTATTATTGGAAACAAAATCTGCCAGCTAGAAGCTGATCATCTTCACTTTATCTGGAGGAGCAAATCAAGTCAAACTCACCCTAAAATCCTCACTGATGAGTTTGCTAATGGAAACAAAAATCATCATTTCACATCTCAAAAGGCGTTTAACAAGGAAAGAGAAAGATTCAGAGCTAAGTTTAGAATGGAACAAAAACATGCATATCACTAAATTAATGCAAGCTTCATCTTCTCTTTGGTTTATTTCACCAAATCATTGCAGAATTTAAGAACATAGAGAATCAAAGTATATCTTCAAAGAACAACACTTTAATCTCTCTTTCCTTTTGATTAGCCCGGTTTTAAGGGTAAATGCAGCCCTTAAAGGATACCATATCAAGTATTGAAATATTAATCAATGTTGCTCTTGTATTATAAAATTTCACCTACTTGTTAATCATATATTCTTTGTTAAGGGCATCTGAATTAAATATATATATATATATATATATATATATATATATATATATATATATATATATATCACTTGGTCATTGTTATCTGCAAATATATGGTTAGTTTCAGTAACTAGTTCATTGATTCTGGCATAAAAGAACATTCAATTTTTTATTTATTAGGATTATATTTCTTGCAACATTCATGTGTAGATTTGTTCATGTCTTAGACTCTTGAAAATTCTCATGGATTCCAAATCAGATAATAATGATTTATTTGCATGTTTGAGACAGTGTTTTTGCAATGGTCAAATGAAGAACTTTCAGGTACTTATGTGCTTATTAGACATTGAAAGATTATTCTTTTTAATTTCTTTCTTTAATTTCTTTCCTATAAAACTTCCAGCTCTGCTTATGTTCTGATTCCTGTAACTGTCTTTTTTTATTTTTTTTATGGGAAAGAATACAAACCAAATCATCCTGATCTATTCTGCCATAGTTTTATAAATAAATAAATAACTCAATTTTGAGAAGTCATAAAATAATGACAATTAGAAATTGAGGGATTACAAATTAAATTATATTGTAAATCAATAGCTATAAATAGAAATTGATAACTCAAGTGGAATTTAATTTGTTATAATGTGTCAAATTTTCATTATTTAATTTAAAGAAGTATATAAAGTAGGGAATAAGAATATGAATATTGGTCTTCGCGCTTAGTAGCTAAACAATATTAGAAAATATCTAATTCATAAATTAATATACTTAATTTTTAGTTTATAAAATATTATCTAACTTAATCTATGTAATAACTATTTTAATTTTTAAAATTAATTACTATTTAATGATTCTTCTTTTAGTGATAGCACACACTTCATTTTGAGTATTTGTATCCTTTTAGTCTATTCTCCAGTCTCAAGAACTGCCTGAGACTCTTGGTTATTTAGGTAAGGAAAATTCTCAAGAACTATATAAAAGATATATTTCTATATATTTTCTTTATATAATTTACAGACAAAACACCATTGATTAAAAAATGTAGTTATTTATAGAGACAAAAATAATAAATACTTTTCAAATTTTTTAGAATTATTCATTATTATATACTAAAAGTTATATAATATAAAATAAATCACCGTTACCTTTTTATTTTTGTGTGTTAGACGATTCAAAACTACTCTTTTCATAATATGATTAACATCTTGTTATTATTCATTCTTTGATATGAAATGGTACGCATATATAATTATAAAACTGAAATTATATACAATTACTTAAAAATTAAAATATATTTTTGTGATAAAAAGTAATGATTATTTTTGTAAAATGATAATATATATATATATATATATATATTTAACATTAAAAATTGAAGATAAATTATATGTAATTATCATTTTCATAAAAGAAACTAAATACATTACTTAAATTAGTTATAAAGTTCAAAATAGTTTGACTATCTTAATTTAAAAATCATTCATTACCGAAATTAGCATTTACTATTTTTAGTACTCAATTAAATACAGTCAACAATAAGAACTAAAAAAGAAATACCACGAATTTAAAAAAGTAACAAAAATATTTTACAGATATTAAAAATGACAATATTAATAAGTGCTTAAAACATATTTAAACTAAAATATTGATTAGTGGTGGATATTTTTTATAGTATGTAGTCATAGATAATAAATTTATGACTTTTATATATAAAAATATTTTAACTAATTATAATTTTAGATTTTAACTCCTAAGACGTGGTAAAAACAGAACAATGCGTCTTTGCATGTAAATCTGTTGTGCAAGATCATTTATTTGCACTTGACATCTTTGCATCTCAGCTCAGTCAACAAAAAAAAGTTTATCATTATCTCTAATCACATCAATGGAGTCTATTTCTGCTCCTTCTTCATTTGTCACCATTGCATCTTTCGCATCAATCCCAAATTTTTCACCTGTTGAAGAACATACATACATACACAATCAAATAAATAAACAAATGGGTTTAAATTTTTATTGCTGGAGATTTTCTTAATTTGATGGAAATCTGGAATTTTACCTGCAATTTTTTTGAGTTCATCTAATGAATCAGGCATCCTTATTAGCTTCCCAGCTTGCATGATACCTTTTTCTCTTCTCACTACAGGATGACCTCTATATATGCTTACTCTAGCAATCTTTGGTCCATCATATCTTGTTTCTCCAATATGTTCCTCCTCTTGATGTTTCCCTTTTGATGCAACTTCATCCGACATAAACTCAATTACATTAATTCTATGTCCAACTTCACAATTGTGCAGCATTTCAGTCATGGTGGATGAACAAAATTCATGACTATGTACATCAGATACATCTGCACCATTCAGGACAAGCAACTTAACCATTTGCACATGATTTTCTTTCATAGCAATTTGGATTGCTGTTGCATCATGACGATCTTTAGAGTCAACGTTTAATCCTTGTTTCAAAAGATCTGCCATCACTGTTAATTCGTTTCTTTTGGCGGCTGTACACAGAAGATCACCTGCTGTGTTCTGGTCTGAGAGAGCAGCAAACTGGAATAGAAGTCGAAATATGGAGTAATGTTTTGATGCTATAGCACCCCACATTGCAGTGTTATCATTCATGTCTGCAAATTTATGCTAATGTAAATTAGTACATGGAAATGAGATACCATTAAGATGGAAATTTAGGTATGTTGTACCTTTTATATGTATGTTGCATGTATGCTTTAGTAACACTTTAACACATTCTTCATGCCCATTTGATGCTGCTATATGCTGCACAGCAGTTGTAGTTTTGACAAATAAATCTCTAGCTACTGTTGAAAGAAATATACAAAAGACTGAATAAGAATATCAATATTAGACAAGAACATACCAATGGAGTTTTCCCTTCAGAGTCTCCAATGTCAGGATCCAAACCTGCTCTCAGAAGCTCCTCAAGAAAAGCAGCATTGCCTGTGCTGGCCACAGTTAACAAGTTCACAGCCATGTTAGGATCCTCTTCTTCCACATTCTCCACCATCAAATCTCTGATACTCAGATTCTTAATCTGCTTGAAATGCTGCATTTGCATCACAGTTTCTTATATTTCAGAATTGAAACCAACCATAAGCATTAACAGTTGTAACTCAAACCACAAGCCAAGATAGTAGCACTTCACCTGAAGAAAATTTTTGAGTATTTGTATGTTGTCTTCTCTTTTAATCTGCATTGATTCTAGAAGGGTGTTGGTTTTCAGTCTCAGGAGCTGTGTAAGAGTCTTGGTTCTGTAGGTAAAGCTCTGAGGCCTACAACAAAGGGCACCAACCTCTCCAAACATGTCCCCAGTATGCAGAGTCCCTAAAGTTTTCTCTTTCTCCATCACACTATCTATGATCTCCACTTCTCCAGACACAATAATGTAAATATCATCTGGTGCTTCATTTTGCATGATAACATCCTCTCTCGGTGGTATGTACTCTGCCTTCACTTTTGCAACCTGCACATCAACAAATCATCCCATCCCATCAATTTACTTGCACATTGCTTGATTTATGTGTTGGGAATCCAAACGTGAGTCCAAGTCTCACGTTGGATAGAAATGAAAAAGTAGAGCATTGTATAAAGGTAAAAAACTCATTAATCCATTATCTTAAGATTTTGGATACAAAATGATATAAATCTCTTACGTGGTTAGACTTAAATCTTACATTACATTACAACGGTGAGAATCGTGTTTAGTTTCATACCAGGGACAAAATTATTTCTTTTGATACGCCTTTGAAAAGATAGACTTTCTCCACAGTTTCAAAAAACAAGTGCTGGCAGATGCTTTTGCAAATAGACTTTGGTAGCTGCTCAATAAGCTGATGCTGATTCAAACTCTCTGCCTTAAATCTCAAACACATGTACGCCAAGATCTGTTCTTTTAACCTCGGAGGCAACCGATTTCGGCACAC